TATATATATATATATATATATATATATATATATATATATATATGTGTATGTATATTAATGTATGTAATATAATTACCATAACACAATTTTGACAAATAAATTCTTCACATTCCATGCACCAACTAGTAGCAACAATGTTATCGTGACAGCTGGTACATTTCTTTTCTTCAGTTTCTTTAGTCTCGTCATCTAATCCTAAATCGTTATCTTCTTCCAACAGTTTTGAGAGAAATCTATTTTCAATCAAATTTTCCACTTGGCTAGTTACATTACACACATGACACATAATCATGTTACTTTCTACTGTAAAAAACATTACAAATAAAAAATATATTCAATATAAAATAGCAATAAATACTAAAATAAGAACCAACTTATATTATTAAATTTAATAAGTAAATTTAATAAATAATAAAATTGATAAATAAATGATCAAGTAGATGAACAAATAGCCTGCTGAAGGGTGCAATTGAAAATAGAAAAGGTACATATACACCTTACGTACACAATATATCTACATCGACTGATGTATTATGGTCACTGATTTTATTATTGATACATATTGCGCAAGCTGCATGTAAACACTCCAAAAGTTTTGGATCATCTCCCAAGGTGAACATCTTGTTACAAAAGATACACTTTGACAAAAATGCACGAATTTCACTTTCCTGACTTTCAGTCGTACACTCAATACGTTGATCATTGCATTCTTCCTCGATACAAATTGCATCCTGTACTTGGGATTGTTGTGTGTCTTGCTTAGAATTGTTTGGCTCTGTAGGCTCCTCTTTCACTACAGATAATGCGGGCAATGCTGGCATTCCCACCACTAATTCATTATTTTGGTTTTCCATGATTGATAACAATCGGATAATATAATCACTCTGCTACTTTTAAAAAATAGTTTACATTATAAATTAAAATAGAAAATTTTTCTCAAATAGCATAGTAGTAGGTACAACACCATGGCAGCCATTTTAATAATTATGTACACATGTACTCATGTAGACAAAAAGGTTAAATCACTTTTATTCGACGAATTTTGAAATGTTTGACAAAAGAATTTTTTTAAAATTATTTTCGGGAAAAAGTATTTGTTTTTATTTACAAATATATACGCGTAAATATAAATGCCTTACACCAAATTATATACATCAAAATATATTCAAGATACTTTTTAAATATTCACTTTTGAGATCGTTGATTATTTGAGAAATAGCAGCGTTGTTTTAAAATAGTTGGAACTCTTGTTCGAGCTTGAAATAGAAATAGAAATATTTAGCATTTTTGATTATTGATATTAACCTCATCTGAGTTCATTGACATAGCTGATATTGACCTTATTATTTTACTCGAATCCATTTAATTCAAAATGTATTTAATTTCAAGATAATATAGGTAATTTAGGCATTATATAGTTGGTCAAAACTAAGCGATTATTAATCTTTTTAATTTTTGAATTTATCTAATAAATAACAGATATTTATAATAAAATAGAAAACATTCGATTTCTGTCACTATGTGCCGCTTACTTACAATCCGAAAACGTAGTAGTCGAAAGCTATGGCTGCGTTCCGATATTCACTGCCAGTACTGAAAATATATAGTTTAGATCACGTATATTATAGATTTTCAGTATTGGCAGTGAATATCGGAACGCAGCCTATAGATTTTCAGTATTGGCAGTGAATATCGGAACGCAGCCTAAATTTTCCTTCCTCTCTAATTCGATATCAATTTAATCATTGCAAAAAATTTTTAATCTTCTTCCTAACGCTTTAATTAGAATCTTTTTTTAAAGATTCAAATATTAACATATAATAATAATAATAATAATAAATATATAATTATTAGAAAACGGTTTTCACCTCCGATTTTGATAAAATTAGATCGACGCGATTTCATTCAAAATAAAGGAATCTGGCAGAAAAACGCGGCGGTTTGCCTCGCGAATCGAGATATTAAGCGTTAAAGATATTAAGCGTTTTGACCACTCTTTTGGTTAGGGAATCTGTCATACCAGTCTAGTTTCCACCGATGTCTTAATTCGCTTCTAATACGACGTAGAATCAGATTTGAGTTGATGGAAACGCGACAAATTGCGCTCATTTCAATCCCGCTTTAATCCACAAATCTTTAACCAGTAGTTTCCGACAGTAAGCGTCGGCACCTTTGATGTTGAGATTTGCGAAACACATGACCTGTCGCTATAGCTTGGAAAAAGCGCCAATTTCAAAAGATAAACAAAAGGTAAAATTAGAAATATTAAAAGTAAAATATTAATATCTTAAAATTAAATATATACTATAATAAAATAACAAATATTTTAGTACAAATAATTTATTCTTTATTATATTTTAATTTTTATGAAATATAATAATAAAAATAATAAAACATTTCAAAAGTAAATTACATATATTTTATATTTTACATGCATATAATATAAGATATAATATATATTACAATATAAAGATTTACATATGTACTATCAGATATATAGAAATATTATTATAAAAATTTATTGCATTAATGCACAGAAATAAATAAAGTTGAAGATAATTTTTATCTTCTAATTTTACATTTACTGAAAAATTTAGTTGGAATTGCATGTGGTCGAAGTTTATTTCTTAAATTGTTTAAGAACATTGAGGGCATGAAATGTTCAATGCAAATACTATAATTTTTATACAGTTGTTCTAAAGCTATCTATAGATCTATTACAAAACTTTCAACCATAACTTTCCTAATAGCACATGATATCATTCGAATATTCTACATTCGTACTGAAAGTACTGTAGTCATACGTATTATTGCCTAATATACCAGAGAACATTCTTATGACATCTTGATGATATATCATTTCTCGTATATTCTTAAAACAACTGTTTTTAAACCATTTTCATATAGCCATACTGCGGGATATTCTCCAGTACTAGGGATGATTAGGTTAGTGAGCGGTAGAACGATTTAAGTACATTCCACAGTATATCGCAGTACGTATTTCGAATGTTCGGAGAATATCTTGAATATATTTGTATGATATTTCATAAAACGTTCTCAGAATAGACGAGTGCTATTAGAGTAATGGGATGATACCTGCAACTGAAATGATGATAAGTGAACACGGAAGTTTGACATAAAATATGATAGATCCAGTTAATGAATGTTACTATATTGTCATATATTAGATGTACAAAAAAGTTCTGAGCTTTAGATTTCATACAACCGAAATAACAATTTAAATTTTATATATCTTCCTGCCCTTTTGCGGTTTTAAAGCATTGGCATTTGACCTTCTAAAATGCCATACGGTTTGGCATTTGATGCACATAACTTCAAAAATCAGTAGTGTTCACGATGGCAATAACAAAAGAACATATTCGATTTTCCATTCACTTCGCGTTTCATCTGAAGAAAAATGCTGCTCAAGCCACTGCAATGATTTGTGCTGCATATGAAAGAACGCTGTAAGTCATACTACATGTAAAAGATGGTAAAAAAATTTCGCCAAGGAGATTTCAGTCTTGAAGATGAACCGTGTGCTGGACGCTCTCAAAAGATTGAAACGGACGAATTGCAAGCACTGCTGGATATAAACTCTGCGCAAACTGAAAAGGAACTTGCAGAACGGGCGTTGGCGTTACGCAGCAAACCATTTCCGTACGTTTACATACGATGGGAAAGGTGATGAAATCAGCAGGAAAGCAGATGGGTTCCGCATGAATTGTCCGAAGACAACACAAATCGTTGGCGTGACACTGCACTCACTTTACTTTCAAAGTTCCGGAAAAAAGATTTTCTGCACAAAATCATTACAGGCGATGAAAAATGGATTCTTTATGAAAACCCTAAACGTAGAAAATCATGGGTTGACCCTGGTCAACCTTCGACATCGACGCCAAAGCCCAATATCCACGCCAAGAAGATTTTGCTCTGTATCTGGTAGGATTGGAAAGGTGTGTTGTAGTACGAGTTATTACAACCGGGTGAAACAATCACGGGAGACCGCTACCAACAACAATTGACCAATTTGAGCGATGCATTAGAAGAAAAGAGACCATTTACTGGCCAAGGACGGCGTAAAGTGATCTTGCTTCATGATAATGCTCGACCACATGTTGCAAAAGCGACTCAGGACCATATCTTTGCGTTAGGCTAACTTCTCCCGCACGCGGCGTATAGCCCAAACATGGCGCCTTCCGATTACTATCTATTCCGGTCGCTGCAGCATCATTTGGCTGATACACATTTCGTGAGATTTGAAGAGATACGAAAATGCATTGATGACTTTATCGCTTCGAAACCGGTTAGCTTCTATCGTCAAGGAATTCTCAAGCTACCCGAAAGATGGCAAAAGGTCATTAATGCAAACAGGGAATATTCCGCTGATTAATATTTTTTTATTTGTTTTTGAATAAAGATTGAATTTTACAAAAAAAAGCTCAGAACTTTTTTGTACACCTAATAATTTAATTTGCTCTGTAATAAAAAATTGTATATCTTAGGTACAAATTTATTACAAAGTTTTAAAAACTGTTTCTCTAATTTATTCTTACGTTTTAATTTTGCTTTTAGTATAAAATTGATTGTAATTTTTTAAATTTTGCTCGTAATTTTTTTGTAATTTTTTAAATTTTGCTCGTAATTTTTGTTTACGTGAACTATTCGCAGGTAATATACGTGATGTTTGAATTAATGCTGATGGAGATTTTTCTAATGCTGAATTAAGTTGATCATCATGGAATAGAGATTGTGTAATGGCGTTAATTTTTTTTCTCTTAACAGAGAAATTTCTTGATTCTTCTCTGATTATTTCTTCTATCGAACAACTGAATCCATAGATAAAATTTCCGATGGTTTTTTGGAATATTGGTAATTAGTATGAGTTTTCCTGGATTATCTCTGTACTGGTCTCTGTACGAAAATCACTGTAATAACAATACAGTGTTATTACAAAAATAAATAATATTTAATTTTTTTGAGATATATCTTTTAAAATGTTTTTAATTTAGAATAATTCAAAATTTATATGCTTTTATGTTTTAAATTATTTTATTATTTTTATATTAAAAAATGCTTACTGTGCATTTTCGAAAATTATTGGTATAGCAGGTACATGTAATCTATTTTATAGATCATGATAAACATATTTATTTGAAAGTGTGCTGCACATAATTTATAGTTTTTATATAAAGTAACGCTATCTTTGTTAATTAGATCTTGCCTATTTATTGCATTTATTCATTGTTTGCATCTATAAATAATTTTGAATAAACAATTTTGATTATTATATTAACTTAATCCTCTGCAGACATCTTGTACACAAAAATGTTTTGTACAAAAAGGTACATAGATATCGTGTACCTTTGAGGGAACAGACAATTTTTCGACTTTGTATTATTTTGTCGATTCTGTCTCAAATTCGAGTACATACAAAAAAAGTAAAAATGTTTCGGATTATATAATTGTATAATCATATCCTTAAATATTGAAAGAGTATATTTAAAATTTTTTATATTTTTTAGAGTTTAAAAATTATTTTAGAAGCACAATATTGCCTCAATGATTCATAGTATCTGATTAAATAGTGAAATTCAGTGATGTCTGTGTGAGATTAATATATGTTATTTATAAACAAATTATAAGCAATATAATATCTAAAATATCTAATTCTTATTTTTTAATATAAAAAGTTATTTAAGTATCGTTCCGATTCTTTTGGAAATCTAAGAAGAGCTGTAAGAACAATTCCAAGAATTGTTAAAACAATTTGTGGCAGCACAATACGCTCTCGCATTCATTTTACTGATTATAATTAACAAACAATCCGTAATGTAACTGTAACGTAATATAAAGCTTGCGGGTTGGAATATGGCGGCTATAAGCATGCGCAATGAAAATTCAATCCCAAATAAATATAGAGTGTCGCTACTATTAATGTCTATACTATGACGCTAGTGAGAGACCGCGGTGTTTCTATACATCGCGCTTTTCTTTCTTTCTCTTTCGTTCTGATTAATTATTAATTATTCAATGATTATTTATTTATTTAATTGATTATTTAAATATGATTATTAATTATTTAATTATCGTGTAATAATTCTTTTATTATATATTTTAAAAAGTTATATGTAAAATTACAATTATCATTGCGGTTTTGGACATTGAATGTCTTACAGCTATCTCAAGCAGCCGATATTAAAAATTATTTTAAAAATAATGAATTCGCGAAACTGTATTTTGTAAACTGTATAAAAATAAGGAAGATTATATTCAATAATAATAAAGTTATTAGTATAAATAAAAATGTAAAAATCAAAATAAGTATTTTTGAAATGAATATTATGTTGTAAATTTAAAATTTGAATTTGCAATAATGTAATTATATAAAGTATTATTTCTATACGTAAAAGTATTACTTCACGTTACATTATATATTATTTCTAAATACTTACATTTAATTGTAAATCTTATAACACAAGAAGTTTATTTACACATTGCAAATTTAAAAATGCTCGTAAAACTATTAC